CCCCTTTCCTTTTCCCCTTCTTTTTCCTCCCTTTCCTTTTCCCCTCTCTTTTCTCCCCTCTGTAATGGTCAAGCACAATCAGACCTCTCCACAAATCCTATAAAAACCTCATCCTAATGAAACCCAAACCTTCATTTCCTCTTGCCAGGCTCCGAGACCTTCGGGACCTGATCCCATTCTACCTGTGCAAAACTGGGAATTTCCTGGATGCTGCCCACTCCCTGCTGTTCCCTGTGAACAGCCTGGCCTGCTGCTCTGCCTGCAGGATCACTCCCTGCCAGTTCAAGGTCTACCTCAGGATCTTCAGGACAGGCTGTGTTCCCTCTGGGAATGACTTGCAGGAGGCAGGGCCCTGGGTCACGGCTGGCAAGTGTCATTTCTTCCTTCCTTCACTGGGAATTTCATTCCAGCTCTTTGCTGGCAGCCAAAGGAGTGAAACCCTGAGCCCAGCTGGGGACTGGGGGAGGGTGGGGAGTCCTCTGCATCCCTGGAAGTGTCCCAGGCCAGGTTGGACAGGGCTTGGGACAGCCTGGGATAGTGGGAGCTGTTGGGTTGGAACTGGATGGGATTTGAGGTTCTTTCCAACCCAAACCATGAAAACAGCAGGCAGGAAGGGTGACTTTGTACTGGAGCATGGATTTATTCACTTCACTTTGCTCAAAACTCTCATTTTGCCAGCTGTGAGCTTCTGCTGAAAGCAAAGCAAGAGAAACTATGAAAAAAAAAATCCAAAGGTCTTCACTGCCTCCCAGCATTGCCTCTGTCAGTGGGGGACTTGGCTTTATGTCTCAGCCATGACCTTGAGGAGAAAACCTCCTGATGGGCAACTTTCATCATCAGAATCATGAGCTCAGCCTCTGATAATTGTCTTCATCTCTCCTGGGCTTTGTCACTTCTCAGGGTGTCTTCTGCCACAAAAGGTTTATTTGGGAGTTCTTCCCTGCTGGCAGAATTCTTGGAAGTGTGAGATCCCTCAGTGTGGTGTGATGTCCACACCAAACCCTTCTCTGGGATCACCTGGCTCACTCTGGATTGTGTCCAGACTTTGCAGCTTTCCAGAACTGTGGTTTGGAGCTGGTATTTATCTACTCCACCACCAAACCTGTGTAAAACGGCTGCAAACACTGTCTGGCTCTGCAGAAACAAGGCTGTGACCAAGTGAATATCCTGCTTGTGTTCCTGCTGTGGAGTTATTTGGGGTGTGTAGGATCTGGCTTTGATTCTTTTCATTTCCATCCCTGCAGGCTCTCCCCTGAGGAACACTGTGCTAATTAAGCAGGCACTCAAACTGCTCTACAGCAGCAAGGCACTCTACAGGAACGTGAGTGAGGCCAAAATTCCCTCTTCTCTCCTGTTCCCACTCCTTGAGAGGGCAAGGATTTACCCTGACCCCTTTTTTCTCTGAATAATTCACCCCTCTGCACAAATTTCACTTTGTAACACAAATGTTCTGTTGTTTTTTAGGCCAAATGTTGGAGTTCCTTCATCATGATTTTGGGGAGCAGCGATTTGCTGGAAAAGAGGGGGCACCTGCTTCCCTTAGCCCTGGGAGAGCCCCCCCTTGGCTTCCAAGAGGTACCAAACAGTGCTGGGAGGGTCTCCTGGCTTGGGTTTGGACAAGATTCCACTGGATGTGGGAATTGGCTCCTTCTCCCAGCTGCCAGAGTGAACCTGCAGTGCCTCATCCAGTGCTCCTGTGCCAGGGGTGGCTCTGCAGCATGTGGGGGCTCAGGAGGGTTAAAGGCAGCTGGAAATGGGCTCCTCCTGCTCCCAGCTCAGGCCTGGCACTGGTTCTGGATCTGTTCGTGGTGAGATGGATCAGATCAGATCAGATCAGAAAGGGCCTGGGCAGGGGAATGGCCTCCCACTGCCAGGGGCACAGTCAGGTGGGAGATTGGGCAGGAATTCCTGGCTGGGAGGGTGGCAGGCCCTGGCACAGATTCCTGCAGAAGCTGTGGCTGCCCCTGGATCCCTGGCAGTGCCCCAGGCCAGCTGGGACAGGGCTTGGAGCATCTGGGACCATGGGAGGTGTCTCTGCCATGGCAGGGCTTGGCACAAGGGGATTTTTCCATCTCAGCCCTACAAAAAAGAGTTTTTCCTAGGGTTTGGTTGGTGCTGCAGAGCCTCAACTTCCTTTGAGTGTGATGTGGAACAGGCACCATCCTCTGCAGAAATGCTGAAGGAGTCACTGAAAAGCACCTGGAACCCCATTGCTGGCAGGTTTGGGGCTGGTTGGAGGAGGATCTGCCATCCTTGTCTCTCACTGTCCCCTTGCAGAACGTGCTGGCAGCCAGTGGCAACTTTCTGGAGGATCTCAAGTCTGGAGTTAATGTGTCTTTGCCATCTGCTGTTTTTTCTGGTCAGGTGAGTGATGACAACCAAGGAATTTATCCCCAGCAGTGAAAAATCTTGGGTTATTAAAAGCTTTCAAGAGAGGCCTGGAAGAATTTTTCTGGGGGTGATCAGCTTAAGATCAGCAGTCTAAACTCTTAGTTTATTCTCCAAAGATGTGACTCCTGAGCTGGATTTTTTCCCCTTTAATTCTCTATTTCTGCTCCTGTGTGATATTTCATTTTTATGTGAGCACTTTGAGAGCACCAGAAATAAACCCCCTGTTTTTTAACTCTGGATAAGGTTCTTGTGGATTTGCTGTGTGCCCTCCAAGCTCTCTGGCTGAACTGGAATAACTCAGTGCTGGTTTGAGTGGATAAATAAAGGGAAAGCAGCTGTTAAATCCATTTTTTTCCTTGTTGCTCTCTTGTGTAGCTGCACCACGAGGCTTCTCTCATCCTGGCAGTGCAAGCAGTGCAGCAGATGCTTTGTTGTGACCTTCCCCACTTGACTTCCTTCTTGGAGATAGTCCTGGCTTTTGGGGTGAGTCCTAGAAACTGATTCCTCTTCTCAAATAAGAAAACAAATAATGTTTAAAATCTCTGTGATGATGAAAACACCATCCTGGAAGTTTTAACCATGTTTAATTTGACTTTGTTTAGATTTTTTTTTTTTTAATTATTATTTTAAGGAATGATTTTCCCTGGGGTTAAATCATATTTTGTCTGCTCTTAGAAAAACTTCTGGGCTCTGAGGCTGTTGCTGGAGCAGCTTTCCTGCGAGGAGCACATCCTGTGTGGCACTGCCAACCTGCTTTTGAGGGACCTGAGCAGGGAGGAAGGCACCATGCTGAGAGTGTGAGTGCTCCCAGAGCCTGCCTGGCCATGGGAATGCAGCAGAGGGATAACCTGACTGCCCCTGGGCCCCTGGAATAAATCCTGGGATTGTTCCACTGGGGCTGCCCCAGACCCACCTGAAATAAATCCTGGGATTGTCCTACTGGGCTGCTCCAGAGTCACCTGAAATCCTGGGATTGTTCTACTGGGACTGCTCCAGGGCCCCTGAAATAAATCCTGGGATTGTCCCATTGGGACTGTCCCAGGGCCACCTGAATGCTCAGCTGGAGTGGTTCTGGGGAGCAGTGATCTGCTGGAAAAGGGGGAGCCCCTGCTCCCCTTATCCCTGGGAGAGCCCCCTTGGCTTCCAGCAGTGCTGGGAGAATCTCGTGGCTTGGCTTTGGCTGAGATTCCGTGGGATGTGGGAACTGGCTCCTCCTCCCAGCTGCCAGAGTGAGCTTGCAGTGCCTCAGTTCCCGTGGTTTTGTTGTGCAGGTGGCAGAACTCTGGCCCTCAGTACGTGGGGGAGTTCCTGTGCCTGTTCCTGACCTGCAGACACAAGAGGATGCAATCCGTGGGGCTCTTCAGCCTCAACGTGGTCATAGAGAACCTGCACCTGTGAGTGGCTGGGGACTGCCCTGAGACCCTGGGATTGTCCCACTGGGACTGCCCTGAAATCCTGGGATTGTCCCACTGGGACTGCCCTGAAATCCTGCCCTGAGACCCTGGGATTGTCCCACTGGGACTGCCCTGAAATCCTGGGATTGTCCCACTGGGACTGCCCTGAAATCCTGGCATTGTCCCACTGGGACTGCCCTGAAATCCTGCCCTGGGACCCTGGGATTGTCCCACTGGGACTGCCCTGAGACCCTGGGATTGTCCCACTGGGACTGCCCTGGGACCCTGAGATTGTCCCACTGGGACTGCCCTGAAATCCTGGCATTGTCCCACTGGGGCTGCCCTGAAATCCTGGGATTGTCCCACTGGGGCTGCCCTGAAATCCTGGCATTGTCCCACTGGGGCTGCCCCCAGAGCTACCTGAAATAAATCCTGGCATTGTCCTTCTGGGACTGCCCAGAGCCCCCCTGAAATCTTGGGATTGTCCCACTGGGAATGCCCAGGGCCCCCTGAAATCTTGGGATTGTCCCATTGGGACTGCCCAAAGCCCCCTGAAATAAATCCTGGGATTGTCCCAGTGGGATTGCCCCAGAGCCCTCTGAAATAAATCCTGGGATTGTCCCAGTGGGATTGCCCCAAAGCCCCCTGAAATAAATCCTGGGATTGTCCCAGTGGGATTGCCCCAAAGCCCCCTGAAATAAATCCTGGGATTGTCCCAGTGGGATTGCCCCAGAGCCCTCTGAAATAAATCCTGGGATTGTCCTTCTAGAACTGCTCCAGGGCCCCTTGAAACAAATCCTGGAATTCTCCCACTGGGACTGCCCTATGGCCACCTGAAATCCTGGGGTTCCCCCAGTCATTCTCCCATAAATCTGGAGTCACCTTGGCTTGGAGCTGAGCGTTGGATTTTTGTGGGGGTTCGGGTCATGCAAAGCCAGGAGTGGCTGCAGCTGGGAGGGAACGAGTGGGAATTTCTCTCTGTTTCAGATGCCCCTGGGTAAAGCAGCTCTGCACCTTTTTCCACGAGTCAGTGAGTATCCCAATATTTGTAGGATTTATCAGCAATGCAGATCAATGACACCCCTTACCAATTAAATACTGAAATTGTTTTGTGATTAAAAAACCATTCCTGGAGGGGATTAATTGTGTTTTGTCTCTTCCCAGGGGTTGGGGCAGCTCCCCTTTGGCACCACAGTTCACCAGGAAGTTTCCAAGTTCGTCAGTGCTTTTGAGAAGCTCTGATTGGGACCAAATCCTCAGGAATATTTTCTCCGTTGGTTTTTCACCCAAGCAGTCTCTTCCTGGAGAGTTCTTTGGGTTTGCTTTGGTTGTCACCTCCAGGAAGAGTCAGCTAAAAACTGGGACTGGCTCTGGAACAGAACATTTGGGGAGTTTCTTGCAGTTCCACATATTCAGGAGTTGTTGGAAGAGGCAGCAGCTTGGAGTTGTTTTCAGAAGCTGAGAAAAGCAGGGATGGAGCAGGAAGCAGCAGAGAATTCTTCCTCCTGTTGGGACACAAACCTTGCAAGAGGCAAATGCTGAGAGGGGAAAAACTTAAACCAGGCAAACAGGGAGCTGAAAACTCCCTCTGCAGCAGTTTGGGATCAAGTGCAGTTTGCACAGCTCTGATTTTTGGGTTTCATTCTAAACCAAAAGGCTGGCGGATAAAACTGAGCTTTATTTTTTTTCAGACAACCCCAGTGTGGGGCAGCGGAGAGCTGATTTTATTTGGAAATAATCCAGCTTTCAGGCTGGGCTTTTATTTTCTGCTGAAAAGAAGGTTTAGATTGGTGCAGGTTTATAAACCAAATCCTAATTTTGGGGGGAATTTGGAGTTCACTCTGCCCTGGGCAGCTGAAAGAGCTCTGCCCCTTTGGGATCCCTCCGTGCCCTGCTTGGGCAGGCAGGAAAACAAACCTCAGCGTGTGCCCAAGGGCACTTTGCACATTTCCAGGGCTTTGGGGGCTTCTGCAGCCCCAAATTCCTCCAAAAAATCCCAAATTTCCGACAAAAAACGCATCTGGATGGAAATTTGACACCTTGTTCAATAAAACTGCCCAAGTTCCGTTGTTACATTGATATTTTGAGTG